GAAGAATCATAGTGGCATACACAGTGTGATAAGGCATGGCGAAGCTGAAAAATTCCAACCCCAACAAGTGTTCAATTGTGACGAAACAGGCCTGTTCTGGAAGAAAATGCCAAACAGGACCTACATTACTCAGGAGGAAAAGGCACTCCCAGGACACAAGCCTATGAAAGACAGGCTAACTCTCATGTTTTGTTGTAATGCTAGTGGGGATTGCAGAGTGAAGCCTTTACTCATGTATCACTCTGAAACTCCCAGAGTGTTCAAGAAAAACAGTGTCTCATCACTCATCAATATTCTTCAATAAAGGTGTCATTTTTAACATTTATTTATATAGTTATTGTGCATGTCTCATTGTTTTCTTTGTAGGGAAATGTATATTTCATGAAAAAAAAAAATTATTTTTTAATACTTTTGGCTGTCTGGAACGGATTAATTGGATTTCCATTATTTCTTATGGGGAAAATTAATTCGGCTACCGATAATTTCGTTTAACGATGAGCTCTCAAGAACTAATTAATATCGTTAGCCGAGGGTCCACTGTATTCCTACCTCATCTCACACAACATACTAAACCCCTGTCAGTTTGGATTCAGGAATAATAAAAGCACAATAATATACACTTGCTATCATACACATGCTAGAACTAATATATACTGCTCTCGAAAAGAAGTCCCGCTGAGAATTTTCACTGATTTACGTAAAGCTTTTGATACAGTCGACCATGAACTGCTGTACACTAAATTAACACACTATGGTATAAGAGGCCACTGTTACAAGTATGGCCATACCCGTTTTATTTTATATTAGGATATGCCCCTTTATTTTATATAAGGTTAATGCTAATATTGTTATATTATATTGACGTGCTGTTGGAGTGTGAGCAAAGTAACATTTATGAAGGGATTCAGGGAAACCGGCAGGCCGGACTTGAGTCCTGGAGATGGGAAGTACAGTGCCTGCACTCTGAAGGAGGGGTGTTAATGTTGCAGTTTAAAAACTGTAGTGTAAAGCATCCTTCTGGCAAGACAGTGATGGAGCGAATGATGGTGAAAGTTTTTCTTTTTCGGGCCACCCTGCCTTGGTGGGAATCGGCCAGTGTGATAATAAAAAAAAAATAAAAAAAAATATACTGTTAGGCGTTATATTAAGAATGTGAGATTCATGTAGTGGGAAACTACTAGTTGAAGCGCCAGTTACTAGTTCAGGTACTAACGTCTCCCTCAGTCACGTGACCAACCTGACGTCGGCTTACCACTCAGTGGTACTGTCAGTAGGTTCACAGCACCTGCTCAGAGAAGTGCTGCTCAGAGAAGGTACACCACCCTTGCTCTGAGTAGGTTCCCACATTCACTCTGACTAGTACTCCCACTTCTAGTCTGATTTCTAAGAGTTCACTGATCATATTACCTGAAATCGTATTTTAGCAACAGATTGATTGCTTGACTCTACTACTAGGAATTGTTTGCTAGTAGACTCTTGTGTCGTAACAATAGTTGTGTATATATATAATAGTATCCTTAATGCGTAAAAAAAAACTATTTTATTGCTCTATTTTAATTAATATTTAGTTCATAAATACATGAAGATACTGTAAGTTTTATTGTTATTAAAGACACTGATTTTATACGAGTTTTGGCCATCCTACAGAAAGAAGGTTAACAAATTATTATTATTATAATCAAGGGGAAGCACTAAACCCGGAGGATTATACAGCGCCTAGGGAGGGATGTGGAAGGCATTCAGGCTTAATTCGGGGAACTGGAGCACAGATCCAATTCCCTAAATCAAGAGCCCCTCACCAACATCAAGGAACCTTCCTTGAGGGGAAAGGTTAACAAAGAAAGAACTTTTTTAAAAGGCTATATTGGCTGCACTAAAACCTTGTTGCTATGGAGTTCCCCCTAGACAATAGCCAACCTAGTAACTGATACCCCATCAAGGATCAGTAACCCAATGTTATACACTCCATATTGTAACAGCCACTCCCTCAACTACCTAAAGTCATACCTTAATAACAGAAGCCAATATGTGTACATAAATGGTGCAAACTTTCCACTCAACCAATCACAGTAGGAGTCCCACAGGAAAGTGTCCTTGGACCACTCCTCTTTCTCATCTACATCAATGACCTACTGACTGCATCACAGCTACTCAAACCCATATTATTTGCAGATGACACTACATACGTCTTCTCCCACCCAAACCCAGTCATACTCGCCAACACTGTCAATGCCAAATTGCAGAAAATGTCTGCCTGGATGATGGCTAATAAACTTACCTTGAATACTGATGAAACCTATTTCATTCAGTTTGGAAACAAAGCTGCAAATGTTCCACTTAACATAACGCTAAACGGATCACCCGTCACAAGACTCTCAGAGGGAAAATTCCTAGGAATCCATCTTGACAGTAGCCTCAAGTTCCAGACCCATATACAACAAATCACCAAGAAAATCTCTAAGACTGTAGGCATACTATCAAAGATACGTTACTATGTTCCACAACCAGCTCTCCCGGCACTGTACCATTCACTTGTCTACCCTTATCTCACATATGGAATTTGTGCATAGGGATCAACAATATTAAATCACCTAAGACCACTAATAACCCAGCAAAAGGCAGCAGTCAAAATGATAACAAATTCCCACTCCTGACAGCACACTCCACCAATTTTCAAAAGTCTAAATCTGCTCACCATTAAGAACATCCATACTTATTCATGTGCCTACTACACTACATACATAGAACAATACACGCAAACATAACTCCTCCACTCAAACTTCTCCTCACCAACCTTAACAGGACACACGACCATAACACAGGGCACAGATCTCTTTCTGATGTATCTCATGTCCATATCACATTGTGTAAAAACTCTATGCACATAAAGGGCCCCAAAATTTGGAATTCATTACCAGAAAATACTAAAGTAACCCGGTCTGAAAATCAATTTAAGACTCTTCTCAAAAACCACTTAATCACCCTAGACTAAATGCTTAATACTCAATATTCCCATAATATAATTTCAATAGTATTTACTTTTGAACCTATTGTCCATTGTCGACAGGAATATAATTGAATCATGTTTCACAAAAAGCATTTTTGAATATATGAATATATCCTTTGATTTATATAAATTAGATTCACTTATAATTAACCCTTTCAGGGTCCAAGGCCCAAATCTGGAGTCACGCACCAGTGTCCAAGAATTTAAAAAAAAAAAATTTGTTATTTTTTCTTATGAAATCGTAGAGAATCTTTTTGTGAAGGTAATAAAACAAAAAGTACGAAATTTGGTGGAAAATTGACGAAATTATGCTCTCACGAATTTTGATGTGTCAGCAATGTTTACGAATCGGCGATTTTGCCGACTTTGACTCCCATTTTAGGCCAATTACATTATTCCAATCAACCAAATTCTTAGCTATTTCACTAGTATTACTTCTATTCTATCGATTGAACACAAGAAATCGCCAAGTCAACTGTTTCAACTACAAAATAAAGTGATCGGAAATTGTTAATTTGGCCAATTTAACACAAAGTTCAAAATATTCCAATTTCAAAATAGGGTCCAGAATAAACAATGTAGGTATTCCTGGAACTAAACTAACATTTCCTCTGTTCATTAGTTATGTTTTGAGGCTTTACAAATAAATTCCATTTTGATTTTTTATTCACATAATGAATTTTTATTCACACCAAAAAAATAGAAGATTTACTGTTATGCAATACTGTAATAATTGTATAAATATCATCACCATATTTGTGAATGTATATTAGACCCACCAGCTGATGTGTATTAGACGTGTGAGGTCGTTTGTTTACTCTTGAATATCGGCAAAAATTTAACATTTCCGCTACTTTGAGCTCAGTTTCAAGCCATTTCCAATGCTAAAACCAATCAAAATCATCTCTATTTCTGTAATATGTCTTTCATTCTATCAAATGAGACCAAGAAATCGCAAATACAACTATAAAAAACATACGAAAAAACACTGCAAAGTTGCTGTTTTAATCGAAAAATCATGATTTCATTTTTTTTCTCTCATTATACACAGCGTGCTGCAGGATCTGTTTTATGTGGTGCACACATACCACATAGATGTATTCTCTCATATCTAGGCCCAAATGTACCACTCACAGTTTATCAGAGTGAGCTGAGCTCATGGCGTAGATCTACGGTTTGGACCCTGAACGTAAAGCCGTAGATCTACGGGACGGACCCTGAAAGGGTTAATAGAACTGCTGTACAACTATGATAAATTTCTTTAATGTTAAGTAGTCAGTAAGCCAATAAACTGAGTCGGCCCATAATGCCTAGGCATAATAGAGGCTCTCTTTGCACTGCAACCCATTATTGTAAATACATAATCTCAATGTACTACTTGCAAAGAAATAAATAAATTTGAGTTTAAATTAGGTGGCAGTACAACAAACCCTTGTATTTGCAGACTAATACGTACTGGGTATTGTTTGAGAGGTCATTGAATCAGAAAAATGTTAAAAATATTAAAAACAATCACTTAAATACCCTGTTGTACATCTACAATTAACATTGAAAATATAGGAGCTGAATGTATAATTTACCCAGCAGATTTTGCCCATTATACATGTGGCTGGACTTTGATATGGGGTGGGATATCAGATCTTAGTCTTTTAAAGATCTTAGGTTTGTAAATTAAACTGTATAAAAGAAAAGTGTAGTCTCTCACATATTTTAGGTGCCTAGTAGCAAGTAGACTTCAGTACTGTAATTGCAAAATATTTTTTTTAAATAATAAATGGACCATTTTTATGCAACACTAACCTAACTTCTGATATATGCAGCAACACAATAATACTGTATTGTACTAACATCAATGTTGGACAGGAGGTAATAATACCACCTCAACGTGCAAGCCATGCTAATAAAGTAACACAAAAAAAAATTCATGTCCAAAATTTAATAACTTACCAGAAAAGTTCCCCAGGTGAACATAACTTATTCAAATTAAACTCACCACAATATATAGCAGCTGAGTTATTGTTTTTCTCTGCTTTCTTCTTACAATGTCTTGCTTTCCTTACCATGGCCATTCCAACACTGGACTGTGTAAGTCTTACCAGCCTTAAGCTCAAACTGAAATCCAAAACTTTTTATATTGTACTTCAAATAATCTAAATATGGTAAGAATATTTCAACACATTTAGAATGGAGAAATAATCAATTCAAGGTTGCACACAAGGAGAAATAAACTAAAAATTGTATACAGTACACACTGACATCAGTCTAACCAATTTATCTCTTATTGATACATGGCAGATCATAATGAAGTTCTGTGCTAAACAAGACTGTAAACAATTTTATTTTCAAAGCATAAAGAACAGGTTTTGCAGTATGAAAGGCAGCTGTTGATCAGTAGGAGGATCCTCGTGGGTAGACAAGGTGTACCTCAGGGAACCATTTTTGGCGGCACACTCCATTTCCTTTTATACATCAACAACCTTCAAGCGTGTAAAAGCAACTTATGCCTATTCTCTTTGCTGACAACACGACTTTTGTCATTTCCCACCCTAATCTAGCCTCACTCAATACTGTCGTTAATGAGGAGCTCACAAAAATACCAACCTGGATGACTGTCAATAAACTTACACTGAACACAGACAAAACCTTTTACATTATGTTTGGGAGTAGAGCAAGTGAGGTCCAACACAACGAGGGAAAATTCCTGGGTCTACACCATGACAGCAACCTGAAATTCAACACACATATCCAACACATAACAAAAAAGTATCTAAAACAATTGGTATCCTCTCAAAGAAACATTACTATATATATATCACAAACAGCACAACTTACACTATACCATTCACTGATCTACCCCCACCTCAACTATGCCACTTGTGCCTGGGGTTCCGCAAGAACAAACCAACTAAAGCCAATAATAAACCAACAAAAAGCTGCAGTGCAAATAATCACACAATCAACAGCTAGACAACACACACACACACACTTTTCAAAGACCTACACCTACTCACTATACAAAACATTCACTGTGCCACCTATATTTACAGAAAAATCAATTCAAATATAAAATATAAATCCTGACCTGAAGAATGTACAAAGAGCTTTCATGGCACACATAAGTACGATAAGGCACCTAAATTACTGGGAATGGTTGAAGTCCCTTGATTTGTATTCCTTGGAATGCAGACAAGAGAGATACATGATAATATACACTTGGAAATGGAAAATCCTAGAGGGATTAGTACCAAACTAGCACATGAAAATCACTCCCTATGAAAACAAAAGACTCGGCAGGAGATGCAAAGCAGGGGCACCACGAGTACACTGAGAGACAACACAGTAAGTGTCAGGGGTCCAAGACTGTTCAACTGCCTCCCAGCATACATAATAGGGATTACCAATAGACCCCTGGCTGTATTCAAGAAGGTACTGGACTGGCACCTAAAGTCAGTACCTGACCAGCCAGGTTGTAGTTTGTACATCAGTCTACGTGTGACCAGCAGTAACAGCCTGGTTGATCAGACCCTGATCCACCACAAGGCCTGGTCTCAGACTGGGCCACGGGGGCATTGACCCCTGAAACCCTCTCCAGGTATACTCCAGGTAAGCACTTTCTTAAAAGACAGTTGCAATAGGACTCATGGACACAATACTAGGCACAAAAATCTCTATGACATTACCCATGTCAGGCTAATTCTTTTCAAAAACTCTATGTATATAAAAGGACCCAGGTACCAATGAGTTCCTGGGTGTTAGTCAACTAGTGTGGGTCGCATCCTGAGATAAAACTGACCTAATTTGGCCTGTATACCTTGTACATATACTTGCAGAAACAAAAAAAAATTAGGTGACGAAAGATTGGATATCAGATTGGATAGAGTATGGAGGAGTTGAATGTATGTATTCAGATATTTAGGAGTGGATGTGTCAGCAGATGGGTCTATGAAAGATTAGGTGAATCATAGAACTGATGAAGAGAAAAAGGGTGAGTGGTGCACTTAGGAGTCTGTGGAAGTAAAGAGGGAAATGTATGAGAGTATAGCTATACGAACACACTTATATGGGTGTGAAACATGGGTGGTGAATGTTGCAAAAAGGAGAAGGCTGGAGGCAGTGGAGATGTCATGTCTGAGGGCAATGTGTGATGTGAATAGTATAATGAAGAGAATTCGTAGTTTGGAAATTGGGAGGAGGTGTGGGATTACCAAAACTATTATCCAGAGGGCCGTGGAGGGGTTGTTAAGGTGGTTCGGACATGTAGAGAGGATGGAACAAAATAGAATAACTTCAAGTGTATAAATCTGTAGTGGAGGGAAGGCGGGGTAGGGGTCGGCCTAGGAAAGGTTGGAGGGAGGGGGTAAAGGAGGTTTTGTGTACGAGGGGCTTGGACTTGCAGCAAGCATGCGTGAACATGTTAGATAGGAGCGAATGGAGACAAATGGTTTTTAGGAACTTGACACGCTGTTGGAGTGCAAGCAAGGTAACATTTATGAAGAGATTCAGGGAAACCGGCAGGCCGGACTTGAGACCTGGAGATGGGAAGTACAGTGTCTGCACTCTGAAGGACGGGTGTTAATGTTGCAGTTTTATAACTGTAAGATAAGATAAGATAAGATTTCGTTCAGATTTTTAACCCCGGAGGGTTAGCCACTCAGGATAACCCAAGAAAGTCAGTGCGTCATCGAGGACTGTCTAACTTATTTCCATTGGGGTCCTCAATCTTGTCCCCCAGGATGCGACCCACACCAGTCAACTAACACCCAGGTATCTATTTGCTGCTAGGTGAACAGGACAACAGGTGTAAGGAAACGCGTCGAAATGTTTCCACCCGCCGGGAATCGAACCCGGGCCCTCCGTGTGTGAAGCGGGAGCTTTAGCCACCAGGCCACCGGTAGTGTAAGAACACCTCTGGCAAGACAATGATGGAGTGAATGATGAGTTTTTCTTTTCTGGGTCACCCTGCCTTCTTGGGAAACAGCCAATGTGTTAAAAAAAAAGTATTATATTATTATTATATTCTTGACTGACTATGGTTGTTTGTCCTTTTGTGAATTGTAAAATGTATTTCTAGCAATTATAAAAGATTAATGACAGTTTACCATGAACACTTGAAGGTGAGAGCACTTGCTTGTTGAGGTCTTCTGATAAGTTGTCATGTGATAACTTGTTTAAACTTAAGTTACAATAGTGTTAATGTTACTGTCTCTGTTTGGCATTACTAGTTGTTGATCAGCACTGTAGCAGTGACAAGTGTTGTAGCAGGGATGACTGTAGCAGTGACAGATGTTGTAGCAGTGTGACAAACTGTAGCAGTGACAAGTGTTGCAGCAGTGATGATTGTAGCAGTGATGAGTGCTGTAGCAGTGACAAGTTGTGGCAGTGTTGGAGCAGTGACAGATGTTGTAGCAGTGTGACAATTGTAGCAGTGACAAATGTTGCAGCAGTGATGAGTGCTGTAGCAGTGACAAGTGTTGTAACAGTGACAAGTGTTGGAGCAGTGACAGATGTAGCAGTGTGACAACTGTAGCAGTGACAAGTGTTGCAGCAGTGATGATTGTAGCAGTGATGAGTGCTCTAGCAGTGATGAGAGTTGTAGCAGTGACAAGTGTTGGAACAGTGACAGATGTTGTAGCAGTGTGACAATTGTAGCAGAGACAAGTGTTGCAGCAGTGATGAGTGCTGTAGCATTGATGAGTGTTGTAGCAGTGACAAGTGTTGTAGCAGTGACAAGTGTTGTAGCAGTGATGAGTGCTATAGCATTGATGAGTGTTGTAGCAGTGACAAGTGCTGTAGCAGTGACAGATGTAGCAGTGTGACAATTGTAGCAGAGACAAGTGTTGCAGCAGTGATGATTGTAGCAGCGATGAGTGTTGTAGCAGTGACAAGTGTTGTAGCAGTGACAAGTGTTGTAGCAGTGATGAGTGGTGTAGCATTGATGAGTGTTGTAGCAGTGACAAGTGTTGCAGCAGTGACAAGTGTTGTAGCAGTGACAAGTGTTGCAGCAGTGACAAGTGTTGCAGCAGTGACAAGTGTTGTAGCAGTGACAAGTGTTGTAGCAGTGACAAGTGTTGCAGCAGTGACAAGTGTTGTAGCAGTTACAAGTGTTGTAGCAGTGACAAGTGTTGTAGCAATGACAAGTGTTGCAGCAGTGACAAGTGTTGTAGCAGTGACAAGTGTTGTAGCAGTGACAAGTGTTGCAGCAGTGACAAGTGTTGTAGCAGTGACAAGTGTTGCAACAGTGACAAGTGTTGTAGCAGTGACAAGTATTGCAGCAGTGACAAGTGTTGTAGCAGTGACAAGTGTTGTAGCAGTGACAAGTGTTGTAGCAGTGACAAGTGTTCAGCAGTGACAAGTGTTGTAGCAGTGACAAGTGTTGTAGCAGTGACAAGTGTTGTAGCAGTGACAAGTGTTGCAGCAGTGACAAGTGTTGTAGCAGTGACAAGTGTTGTAGCAGTGACAAGTGTTGTAGCAGTGACAAGTGTTGCAGCAGTGACAAGTGTTGTAGCAGTGACAAGTGTTGCAGCAGTGACAAGTGTTGCAGCAGTGACAAGTGTTGTAGCAGTGACAAGTGTTGCAGCAGTGACAAGTGTTGCAGCAGTGACAAGTGTTGTAGCAGTGACAAGTGTTGTAGCAGTAACAATGTTGAAGCAGTGTAACAAGTGTTACAGCAGTGTAACAAGTGTTACAGCAGTAACAATGTTGAAGCAGTGTAACAAGTGTTACAGCAGTAACAATGTTGAAGCAGTGTAACAAGTGTTACAGCAGTAACAATGTTGAAGCAGTGTAACAAGTGTTACAGCAGTGTAACAAGTGTTACAGCAGTGTAACAAGTGTTACAGCAGTGTAACAAGTGTTACAGCAGTGTAACAAGTGTTACAGCAGCGTAACAAGTGTTACAGCAGTGTAACAAGTGTTACAGCAGTGTAACAAGTGTTACAGTAGTGTAACAAGTGTTACAGCAGTGTAACAAGTGTTACAGCAGTGTAACAAGTGTTACAGCAGTGTAACAAGTGTTACAGCAGTGTAACAAGTGTTACAGCAGTGTAACAAGTGTTACAGCAGTAACAATGTTGAAGCAGTGTAACAAGTGTTACAGCAGTAACAATGTTGAA